GAGGCATAGGCGGTGGCCCACGTTGCCCATGCCTTACGCCGCCCTTGGTCATAGAAATGATGTAATTTGAATATAAATTATTTATAAATACGTATGTCAAGTTATATTTTTATTACGACGCAAAATATATTTAAGAGTTTACGGCCACTGTGCTGGGTGAGACGTTGTTGAAATAAAAAAAATTATGCATTCCATCACGTACATAAACAGTATCGTAATTCGCCAAGTGCAAATCAGCAAATTCGTAAAATTTTTGTTTATTTTGAACAATCCGGATAATCGAGGTTCTACTGTATTTTGGATTTTAAGTGATTTCTATAATTTATGGTATTTAATTAAAGTTTAAAAAGTATTTTACTTTGTTCTTAAGTAACATATAATATAATGTGACATAAACGACAACCTGATTAATTTGTATTGCCAAATGATCTGCCAGATTATTTGTCAGGCAATTTTAAGGGTAGTAAAAAGTTAAATACAAATTAGTTTGGCTAGAGGTAGGCAGTTTTGCCATCGTCTCTTGGTAAATGTAAATTTAATAATTAGAGTAAATTTTAAATTTTAATTTACAATATTTTGGAAGAGAAGAATTGGCGCAGAGTGGGACTCAAACCCGCAACTCTTGCTTACTGTGCATAACATTGTCAATTAGGCTACCTGGACATTTATCCAATTTTTGCTTCCAGAGCTAATAATTATTTAATTTAAATATAACCATACTGGTCACTCATGGTGCCAGCTGGGGATGATTTAGTACTCACAACCCTCTATTGCGTCAACTTATGCTTTAACCCAGGCCTTAAAATAGTCTAACAGATAATCCAGTAGATTGTTTGGAAAGCAACATATAAAATGTACTGTATTTAAATACAGTGAAAACTGCTTAGACGACCACCTGCATTCAATGGGCACCTGTCAAAACTGGCAAAAATTTCTGGCACGGAATAGTTTATACATAGTCTTCGTATAAGTTACCTGTATTAAATGACACCCTGTGTAATGCGATCACGGGCATCAATTTTTGGTCTGAAACAACATTCAACAACTGTAATAAGTGACCACTTCTGCGAATATACAAGGGTAGGCTGAAAAGTAATGCACACATGCTTGTAGAACATGAACAAAAACAAGTAGCAAGATCGGGCAAAAAGTACATTAAAGTATAATTCTTAAGCTTCAAAATCATGTATTTATTTTTCAACATAGTCACCATTAAGGCTAAGATATTTCTCCCAACGTGTAACAAGTTTTTTCATTCCGTCAGTGAAAAATTCTTCTGACTTTTCTCGAATCCAGGACTTGACAGCTGCCTTCACCTCATTGTCCAAGGTGTAATGATTAACCTTGAGATCTCTCTTGAGTAGAGGAAAAAAATAAAAATCGCAAGGCGCAAGATCAGAGGACTAAGGAGTGTGTGGAATCGGTTCAAACTTCAGGTTTCGCAGAGCCTCTCCAGTTGTGCACA